CTGGCCGCTCCCAACTTGGCAGCCGCTGCTCCGGGCCTGGCCACTCCCAGCCTGGCAGCTGCTGCTCCGGGCCTGGCCGCACCAGACCCTGTTGCTCTGGGCCCGGCTGCTCCGGGCCCAGCCGCTCCAGGCCTGGCCGCTCCCAGCCTGGCAACTGCTGCTCCGGGCCTGGCCGCTCCGAGCCTGGCCGCTCCCGGCCTGCATGCTCTGGGCTTGGCTACTGCTGTTCTGGGCCTGGCTGCTCCCAACCCGGCTGCTCTGGGCCCGGCTTCTCTGGGCCCGGCCACTCCGGGTCTGGGTGTTCCTGGACTGGCCACCTGGTCTTGGCCGCCTCCGCCTCAGGCCTGGTTGCCACTGTCCCAGGTCTGGCTGCTCCAGTGCTGGCCGTTGATGCTCTGGTTCTGGCCGCTGCCGCTCTGGGGCCTGGCCGCTGCTGCTCTGAGTCCGGCTGCCACTGCCTTGTGCCTGGCCACTCTAGGCCTGGTCGCCACTGTTCCAACATTCTGCCCCTTTTTCTTTTTTTTTCTTTTTTTTTTTTTTTTAAAAAAAAAACGCATTTATGTTGCAATGTTAGCTGGTGAGTTGAGTTCTGACTTAATCTTTGATTTTTCAAGATCTTCTTTGTATTCTTTCTTAAGTAATTTTACTATCTTTTGCTCTCACTTGATTTCTTCACATTGAGAACTTCTTTGGTTTCTTCCTCCTTGTCCTGGGAGCTCAGCAGGTTGGCCTGTGGCACCCCTTTGTTCTCCGCGGGCTCCTGCGCTGCTTCAGCCTGTTGCCGGGGTCGGCGCCACCCAGGAAGCAGCCCCAATCCTTGGTTCTGTTGCCTGCACTCAGCGGTCGAAGGCTCAGGGGCACCCCCCCCCCGGGGGCCCCGTCGCCCAGCTCCTTGCTGGTGCCCGGCTGGCCGGTGTCCAGCAGGGGCTCCTGCTCCTCGTCGCATTTCTCCAGTCTGGAGCTTTCTTTCTCCCTCCCGCTAGGGGAGTCCAGGATCAGAGTCAACTGACTGTCCTCTGCGCGCAGTGTGCACGACTCCGGGGGCTCCGCTTTTCGCAGCTCCCCCAGGACTCCACCTCACAGCCCTGTCTTCCTCTGCTTAAGCTTGGGTCCCCAGGGACTGGCCCAGACCTGGAGTTCGGGGTGGTCCGGACTGAGGCTCAGCGCCACTGGAGGCTTTGTTTCTTCCTGCTAGGGTAATCCAGCATCAGAGTCAACATTCAGTCCTCTGCGTACAATGTGCGCGCAACTCCAGGGGCCCAGCCTTTCGCTGCTCCCCCGGGATTCTGCCTCACAGCCCCATCTCCCCCTGCCAGAGCCTGGGTCCCCAGGGTCTGGCCCATAACTGGGGCTCAGCGCTGCCTGTTCGAGGGTTCAGCCCAGGCTGGGGGTTCTATTTCCTTCCTGCTAGGGAACGCCAGGCAGCACCCAGCCCTCTCTTCCTCTCTGGCTGCGACCTCTCCACGCTCGCGTGCGTGCGTGCATGCGGGCGCGCAGCATGTCTCTGTACCTTAGGCTTTTTTTCAGCTCCTCTGATTTTCCTTCTGGTTTTCTCCCTCCTTCCTATTGTAGAGTTTTCAGTCAGTCGACTACCTGTAGCTCTGGGCAATGTCCACTCTACATTTTAATTGTATTCCATTGAAATTGTTGTGTGCTGCTGCGGTTAGGTGTCTACCCGAGCAGCCATCTTGGATCCTCCCTGAAGTTGTTTTTGTCTATTTTTAGTTTCTCTTTCTGTGAGTTCATTATTGGTGTATAAAAATGCCATAGATTTCTGGGTGTTAATTTTGTATCCTGCTACATTGCTGAATTCATTTATTGAATCTAGTAGTTTTTTTTATGAAGTCTTTAGGGTTTTTTATGTAAAATATCATGATCTGTGAATAATGTCAGTTTTACTTCTTCTTTTCCAATTTAGATGCCTTTTTTTCTTGTCTGATCGCTATGGCTAACACTTTGAACAGGAGTGGTGAAATTTAGCATTCCTGTCTTGCTCTTCTTCTTAGGGGAAATGGATTTAATATTTGCTCATTGAGGATGATGTTGGCTATAGGTTTGTCATATAAGGCTTTTATTATGTTGAGGTATGATCCCTTTATTCCCACTTTGCTGAAATGCTGAATTTTTTTTTTAATCCAAAAAATGGTGTTGAAATTTTTCAAATGCTTTTCTGTATCAATTGATATAATCATGTAGTTTTTGTCTTTCAATTTTTTATGTGGTGTATCATGTTTGTTGATTTGTGGATATTGTACCAGCTTTGCATCCCCAGAATAAATCCCACTTGTTCATTATATATGATCTTTTTAATATATTACTGGATGCAATTTGCTAATATTTTATTGAGGATTTTAGCATCTATATTTATCAGGAATATTGTCCTGTAATTCTCTTTCTTTGTAGTGTATTTACCTGGTTTTGGGATTAGTGTAATGCTGGCTTCATAGAAACAGCTTGGAAATGTCCTTTCCTTTTGAATATTTTTGAATAGTCTGAGGAGGATCAGTGTTAGGTATTCTTTGAATGTTTGGTAAAACTCCCCTGTGAAGCCGTCTGGACTAGGGCTTTTGTATGCTAGAAGTTTTTTGTTTACTGCTTCAATTTCATCAGTAGTTATCCACCTATTCCAGTATTTTTATTCTTCCTGATTGAGTTTTGGAAGCTTGTATTTTTCTAGGAATATGTACATTTTTGTTTAGGTTGTCCAGTTTGTTGGAGTAGAGTTGTTCATAGTATTTTTTTTACAACCCTTTGTATTTCTGTGAGTTGTTACTTTACCTCTTTCATTTCTGATTTTGTTTATTTGAGTTTGCTCATTTTGTTTTTTGGTGAGCCATGCTAGAGGTTCATCAATCTTGTTTATCCTTTCAAAGAACCAGCTCTGGGTTCTATTGATCTTTTGTATGTTTTTTTGGTCTTTATGTCATTTATATCTGCTCTGATCTTTATTATTTCCTTCCTTCTACTTTGGGCTTTTCTCATTGCTCCCTTTCTAGTTGTAGGGTTAGATTACTTATTACCAGTTTTTCTTATTTTTTGAGGTAGGCCTGTAGTGCTATGAACTTCCCTCTCAGGCCTGTTTTTATTGTGTCCCATAGATTTTGGATTGTTGTGTTTTCATTTTCATTTGTTTCCAGTATGTTTTTTTTTAATTTCTTCTTTGATCTCTTTGGTAACCCATTCATTATTTAATAGCATTCTATTTAGCCTCCATGTGTTTTATTATTTTTTATTGTTTTTATTGTAGTTGATTTCTAATTTTATGCCATTGTGATTTGAGAAGATGCTGATATGATTTCAACCTTCTTGAATTTGTAGAGACTTGGCCTGTGCCCTAATATATGGTCTATCTTTGAAAATGTCCCATGTGCACTTGAGAAGAAAGTAGATTATGTAGCTTTGGGGTGAAACGTTCTGAAGCTGTCAATTAATTCAATCTGTCCTAATAAGTCATGTAGGATTGCTGTTTCTTTGATAATTTTTTTGTCTTGTTTTCACTTTCTTAACCTGGTCTGTAGGAATTCAGACCAAGCACTTCTCTTCTCCTTCTTTGTAGGTGGTGCTTGGCAGGAGTTGCTAAGACCCTTAGCCAGAAGAGACTTCAAAAAACATTCCGTTCAAGCTTCTTATTCCACGCAAAATTTTCAGATATTATTTCAAGTTTGTAATTTTTTCAATTTTTTATTGATTAAGGTATCACATATTTGTCCTCAAACCCCCCATTCCAATCCCCCACCCCTCCCCACTCATGCCCCCGCCCCCCTATTGTCCTTGACCACTGGTTAGGCTCATATGTGTGCACATAAGTCTCTTGGTTGATCTCTCCCTTTTATCCCCACCCTCCCTTTGAGGTCCAACAGTCTAACCCATGGCTCCTTATCTCTGGGTCCGTTGTTCATCAGTCTATGTTGTTGACCATTTCCCCTAGATGAGTGAGATCATGTCCTACTGGAAATATATTTATAAGAATAAAAAAATGAGACAAGCAATAATCATTTATACCTGTGCAGTTTTTCATTCTCCAAGATCCACCTCATTAAATAGGATGTGTATCTGATTCATTTATTCTAAGGCAGTATCACTAAACCAGCAGCAAATACAGAAACAAACATAAACAATGAGCCAAAACAAAATTAGTCAATGGACTGTTTCCACAGATTCTATATATACAATATTTTGTAAACTGCTGTCCATTTCTGTTTGATGCTCTATGTTTGCCACAAAGATTCTGTGGTCAAATTTTTATGCCACCTATTGTAAAGGCTTCGATGGAAGCAAACCCATGCATCATCCTGTGCAATAATGTATACAGGAACTTATGGATTATTATCCTATGTGTATTATGTAAGCTTCTGTCCCATAGTAAATTATTGGATTCAATGAATGGTTGAGTTTTAACACTTTGAAGGAGTTCTGGCTTGTGCAAACTGATAAGATGGAGTTTTTCCTCAGCCCCAGGTGACAGGATGCCTCAATATTGAGCAATTGCTCTTTTTGAAAAGTATTAAATATTTCATATATATATATATACTGTATATATATATATATATATATATATATACTGTATATATATGTGTGTGTGTGTGTGTATAATGAATAATATAACAACAAATATATTTCCACTCCCCAGCTTAAGAAAGAAGGCATAACCACTGCAATCCAAGCCTTCTGTATACACCTCCATTCCAAGGTTTTTACCCTCCCAGATTTGATCTTGATCATTTCCATGTGTGTTTTTATACATTTACTACATATGCATCTATCCCTAAACAATATGTACTACTTCACATAAATAATATAACTCTGTCTGTACTTTCTGCAATTTACTTTCCTCACTCACCATTATGCTTATGAGTTTTATCCTTGTTGATAGATGTAGCTCTAATTCATTTTCACTGCTATAGAGCATTCCAAGTATAATGATATTATAATTTTATATGTTTTCTTATTGATCAAGTACTCTTCAATTACCAAATCTTACTTCTGGATGCTGGGACACTTCCTCTTCCTTTCTTGTTGAGTAATAGTTTACTTTTGAAAAAATGAATGAACAAAAAATAGAAGGCTTCTTGACCAAGCATATATAGTATACTAGTGATCTATAGTGAGTTCAGGGTGTAAAAAGTAGATTCAGTCAAGATCAGATTTTCTCCACCTCCACATTATTAACATTTTGGACCAGATATTGCTTTGCTGTTGGGGGCTATCCTGTGCATTGTAGAGTGGTTAGCAAAATCTATGACATCTAATCACTAGATGTCAATAGTGGTAACCAAAAATGTCTCTAGCTATTGCCACATGTTCTCAGTTTAGAACCACTGGTCAAGATGTACTGAGCACCATTATATGCAAAGCACTTTAGGAGGTGCTATTGGAAGAAATCAGATGAAAGATAAATAGACACTGACATTTTTTTATTTTTTTTATTTTGGTCTCACATAATTGTCCTTATTCCCCCATTCCCATCCCAAACCCCTCCCTAGATATGCCTCCCCCAACCCCCATTGTCTATGGCCACTGGCTAGGCCCATATGTATGCACTCAAGTCCTTTGGTTGATCTCTTCCCCTTACCCCACATCCTCCCTTACTTTCCCTCTGAGGTTTGAGAGTCTGATCGCTGGTTATCTTTCTCTGGGTCTGTTTATGTTGTTCATTATTTCCTCTAGATGTGTGAGATCATGTGATCCAAGAAATACCCTTGTAAGAACCTAAACTGCAACAAGCCATAATGGTTATGCTGAGAGGCAAATGAATCAGTCTGTAGTGAGTTGACACTGACATTTTTTTAAAGTCCTTTATTCAAAGATAAGTATTAAGCATATACTATGTGGAAAATATACTTCGATAGATACTGGAATTTTAGTGACTCTTTCCTCACAATGTTCACTATTTATTACATGGGGTAGGTGGAGACAGACAAACCATAAACATACAATTATAATACAATGTGCAAAGTGAAGAGCGGGGGACATGCACAGAATATGTGGGAGTACCTAGCAAGGCCACTTACACCAGCCTGGTGGAAAGTGGTCAGTGAATGGTTCCTTGAAAAAGTAATCTTAAAATATGAATATGAATTAGCTAGACTAAAAGGGCATTTCAGGCCGAAGAATTGCATAAGCAAGAACAAAAGGCTAGAACACTAGGTCTATCCAAAGGAAGTATAGAAGGAAGATGGTAGTGGTGGTGAAGCATAATCTGTAAGGAAAAAGAATGATCACAGATGAGTCTATAAAGAAGGTGAATTAGTGTGCAAGGGCTGCATAACAAGTACCACAAACTAAGTGTCATAAACAACAGAAACTTACTGTATCACAGTTATGGAGGTTAGAATTCTGAGATCAAAGTGTCTGCAGGGTTAGTTGTTTCTGAGGGGTCTGAGGAAGAATATTTAAAAATTTTAGCTCTGCATTATCAACCTCCAAAGAACAAACTAATCCTGCAAACTAGTTCACCTCTTCTAGCTTCTAATTGTCTGTTGGCAATATTTGTGATTTCTAGGATTATAAAAGCATCACCCCCTTCTCTACCATCATCTCCACATGGCATTTTCCCTGTGCATGTCTCCCAGTGTCCAAATTTTCCCTTTTTATAAAGATATCAATGGTATTAGGTCCCAGCCTAATGACCTCATCTTAGCTAATTATATCTATAATGATCTTATTTTCAAATAGGACACATCCTGAGGTACTTGAGTTTAGGACTTTAACATATGAATTTTAGAGAGGCACAAAATTTCACCCATAACAGATGGGTAAGGATTAGAATTTCAGAGGCCTTGTGAGCCATGTTAGAGAATATGGACTTTATTCAGTAACTAATTACAGCCTTTCAAAGAGTCCTAGAGTTCTTTACTCCATCATTTTTAGTGACATCATTGAAATCATTTTTCATTCTTTTATGACTAAACTAGAGGCCTGGTGAGTGAATTCATGCACCAGTGGGGTCCCTTGGCCTGGCCTGCAGGATCAGGCTGAAATCAGCTCTCTGGCATCCCCCAAAGGGTCCCACATTGTGAGAGGGTGCTGGCCAGGCTGAGGAACCTCAGCAATGCATGATTGGGGCTGGGGAGAGACAAGGGAGGTTGGTCAGCCAAGGAAAGACTCCAGCAACAAGCTAATCTACCAGTTAGAGTGTCTGCCCCCTGGTGGTCAGTGCACATCATAGCAAGTGGTTGAGCAGCCTTAGCATATCATTAGCATATTATGCTTTCATTGGTTGAATGGCCAACCAGTTGACCAGATATTTAGCATATTGGGCTTTTATTATATAAGATAATATTCCACTATATGAATATGCCACATTTTACTTAGTCATTCATTAGTTGATGGAATTTGGGTTGTTTGCACATTTTAACTATTGTGAATAATGCTGATGTAAATATTCATGTATCAGGGTTGTTGTTTTTTACCTTTGTTTTCAAATGTCTTGTGTGTGTACCTAGAAGTGTAATAGCTGGGTCATATAGTAACTCTATGTTTAACCTTTTGATGAACTGCCAAACTGCTTACCATAGTGGCTGCACCATTCTACATTTTCATCAGCAATGTATGAGGGTTCCAATTTATCTACATTCTTGGTAACATTTGTTATTGGGTTGTTGTTTTTATTATAGACATCCCAGTAGGTGTGAAATGGTACCTCATTGTAGTTTTAATTTGCATTTCCCTAGCAACTAATGATGTTGACTATCTTTTTATATTTGTTTAATCATTAGTATATTTTCTTTGAAGAAATGCCTATTCAAATTTTTTGTCCATTTTTAAATATATTTTATTGATTTTTTTTTAACAGAAAGGAAGAGAGAAGGATAGAGAGTTAGAAACATCGATGAGAGAGAAACATCGATTCAGCTGCCTCCTGCACATCCCCTACTGGGGCTGTGCCTGCAACCAAGGTACATACATGTCCTTGACCGGATTCAAACCTGTGACCCTTCAGTCCGCAGGCCAACGATCTATCCACTGAGCCAAACTGGTCAGGGCTTTTGTCCATTTTAAATTGTCTTTTTATTATTGAGTTGTAACAGTTCTGTATATATTCTACTTGTACTCTTGAAAAGCAAAGGTGGGTGGAAGAAAGGGGTAAGAACATTCTTAGGTAGGGAACTGGCATGGATATGTCAACAGCAATCTTTGCTGTTTGATTCAAGATGAGAGCCCGGATCAGGGAAAATGGACTGAATCATATTAAGAATGGGTTCTTTGTGGTTATGGCCAAAGCTAAGTAAGTGCAGGACTGGTTTGTTCTTTGGAGGTTAATAATGCATGGTTAAAGCTTTTAAGACCTATTCAAAGATTCATTCTGAGTGGTAATTCATTCTAGTAAAAGAATCTCTTGGGGGAAGAAAACCCTTACTTGCCAGGATATAAAAACAAAAATATAGGGGCCCCTTATTACAAAGCACAATGACCACATTTTATTTTTCTTTAACACTCCAGCAACGTTTGACACTTTTCCCCATTCCCTCCTTGTTAAAGTCTCCTCTCCTGTGATTTCTGAAACATCAAAGCTTCCTGGCTATCTTTCTTAATCTACTCAGACCCTACTCAGACCCTACCTTAATTTATAAAGCTCAAATGCCTCATTAATTTGTTCAGAAGAAGTCTGGGGGCACTAACATTTACTAATAACTATTATATGCATTGTTTTTACAAGCTGGAAATGTAGCAGTCAATAAAAAGACCTTGAATGCATAGAGCTAAGTCATTGAAAAATAACTAATAGCATTACTAACATAATAGCAAACTCACATAGCACTATTATTCTACATACTGTTTTAAGGTACTAATCTAAGATACACACACATTTAGTCTTCACAAAAATTCTATGATGTAAATACTATTATCCCCATTTTATAAATAAATAAACTGAGGCACAGGGAGGCCAAATGGTTAAGTCAGGAATTGAAGCCAAAAGTTATGACTCCAGAGTTAAGGTTTTTCACTAGTTCTCCATGTTGCCTGTCAAAAATAAATAAAGATATCAACTAGTACTTGCTAACAGGTAGCCAAACTAGTATTTCAATGAACATTCCTCACAATTCAACTCCAGTCTATGTAAGAGAATTCTAAAGTTCAACTGAAGGAAGGGAAAGGATTTTTTATGAGAATTCATGAGTGCTATTGTTCCCATGATCAAGCCAAGCAAAAAGTCTCCAATTAAATTTTCAAGAGGGGAGACCGGCTTCCTACTCCCAGTCTGAAGTCCTGTTGTACTACAGAAAAAAAAAATGATAGGTTTCTTGCCTGTGTTGTCACGGAACAGGAAGATATCATAGGAGAACCTCACATGTGTCTTTTGGTGTCTACAGAAGATAGATACTTGTGCTTGACTTTAACCTGAAGAAATCTAAAAGCAGAAGGCTGGTTGAAATTAATTACACTTGCATAGCAAAGGTCTAAACTTCTAAGGTACCAGATTTTCTATTGGCCAGGTAGTTTTCTCTGACTGTACCTGGCAACTCCAACAGAAAAATGAGAATCTCAATGAGAAGAAAGTTGTGTAGGTAAGAGCCAAGGGGGAAGACAGTCAGATGGTACATTAGGAATAGTACAGGGGAGAGGCCCCCAGTAGGGGGATAGGAAGTGAATGGGATCCCTGAAAAAAAAAAACCTCGAAAACATATCACACACAAAAAGATGTATTTGGGCATCTCCCTCATAAAGGGTATTGATAGCCAGATTACATTGGTTCCAGTAAATTAAACCTCTCACTGTCCCTTTAAGACTCCCTTTCTCTATCCACCACCCCTGAATGTTGGAGGAGCCAATAGCAACAGCGCAAGTAGGGGAGGAAGTGAGTCAAGATGAGTGAAAGAACAGACCAAGTCACTTTCCTTTACTAAAGATCTGTGGAAGGTTCTGCACTGGAGGTTGGCAGCTAAAGGAGAAGCTTTAAATGGAATAAGATTTTTAAAATATTTTATTTCAAATGGTTGAACATTTCAATGCCTATGAATTAAACTATTATAAATATCTGAGTAACCAAAAAGTTAATAGATTATATTGCATAACATAATAAGGGATGATGATATGTTACCAAAAAAAAAAGCACAGAAAAGGAATATATAGTAATAAGAGTGATATTTTATATATGTTAGTCAAGGAAAACATCTCAGAGTATATGGCACAAAATAATTGAAGACCAAGTCATAGGAATTTACTAAGCCTTTATCTCTTTTCAGTATACATTATTTTTGGATGATTTCATCCATTTGCAAGGCTTCAATTTGCCCTGATGACTCACAATCCTGTATCACTACTCTAAATTTTCTCCTGATCTTCAGACTCATATACTTAATGCCTACCAGATAGTCCCATCTCAATGATTACAACCACCTCAAATTCAACTTTTCTTAACGTAATCTTTCCTTCAAACCTCTCTGACTCCAATGTTTTTCATCTTTAATGAATATCACTACAAATAGCACAAGCTAGAAACTGTCCCCAAACCTAACCTCTATATCCTATTGTTCTCATCACCTAAATAGGTCTTGAATGCTTTCCCACTGCCACTACCCTAACTCAAGATGTAATCATCTCTCACCTGGACTACAATAATAGCCTCCGGGCTAATCACCCTACTTCTAATGTATTTTCTATACTGTTGCTAATCATCCTTAAATCCAAATAGGATTATGGAGGAACTCAATAGTTCCTGATAGTTCTTAGAATTTTTTCATGTGGCTTAGCAGGACTTTCATGATCTGCTTCCTATCTATTTTATAATCTGTCTCTTCCACAATTCCTTGCTCTTTAGCACCCCTCCTCCAAGCCAATCTAAATTATTTGCACTTCACTCCAAACTCCAAATTCTCAATGTCTCATATGTCCTACCCTTATCTTCTCCAGGCTAATCCTTACTCATTTTACAACTCAGTTGTGATTTGGAAAGGCTTCTCTGCACCACACTAAGATCAGTGTCCCTCCTCTGTGCTCCTATTGTCCATTAGCACCCTTTATATATTTGTGTCATTGCACTTAACTCTACTACATTCTCATTGTTCACACGGTTGGCCCTCCTATTGAAATGTCCACAATAGAACTTTTGCCATTAATCTCTGTATCCATAAGGCATGGCATATAAAATAGTTTCTCTTTCAAAATTCAGACCTTTCCTCTTCCTGAAATCTTCTTTTCCACACTTGTCCTCATCCTTTAAATTTTCAGTAGGTCCTAAAGATTCTGTTACTATAACCCCTTCAGGTTGTTTGTATGTTAAATAGTTAGCATATTTGTTCCTATTAGGGCTGCTTCTTAACCAGGAACAATGTTGCCCCTTTTCTTAGGAGACATTTGGCAATGTCTGGAGACACTTTAGGTTGTGATAACTCAGGGAAGGAGTGGGGTGCTACTGACAACTAGTTTGTAGAGGTCAGGGATGCTACTAAACCTCCTGTAATGCACGGAACAGTGTGCCCCCCCCACCTCACACACTCACATAACAAAGAAGTATCTAGCTGAAAACATTAATAGTGCAGAGGCTAATAAACCCTGTCTGAGGGCAAGCAAAACTCCTCAACTATGGTGAAATTTCATGCTGAATTACAGAGCTGCCTGTGAAATTCAGGCCTGTCTTCTGGGTCTAAGATAATACGGAAGAGGAAACAGGAGTCATAAAGATAAAGTTCTTGTGGGCTGGGGTTTTGCTAGATGAGCAAAAACACATTTGAATATACGCTAAAACCCATATTTAGGAAAATGCTCACTTACAGAGAGATAGACCATTCTACAAATGGTCTAAAAGGCTCCCACTGAATTCAGAGAACTCTGTAGAGCCATTATTTTTTACTCAAGCTAAGCATACTAGACAAACTCCTGTACAAGTAGAAAAGGAAAGATTAATGAATATTTTTGAGCTATTTCTACATGCCAAACACTGTGAAGTGTGTTGTGCGCATTATCTCTTTTAATCCTCACAATAGCACTGTAAATTAGACACTCTTTTTCTTCCATTTTACAGATGAGAAAACTGTTGTAACATTAACACTAAGTGAATAAATATACTTAAATCCAATGTCTTTCTATTACACCATGCTAAGATGATTCAGTGTTCAAGGCAGAACATACCTTATAATACTTTCAAACTTAAAAAACAAAATATACTTTGGCATCCACACTAAGTCGAGTTGACCTTTTGTTTGCTTCTTCACTCTTGAGTAGCACCCGTCTTCTTTGGGTACATTTCCATTTGGAGGCACTATAATCTAATAGGATCATGCCTGAGCTGGGAATCAAAAGATATGAACTCATTAAATTAATCACATGTAGTTGAAAAATTGACTGAGATATTTACCTCACTATTCCTTGGTCTATAATTTACCTGAAAAATTATAAAGTTTCATTATGATAACAACAGGCTATGATAGATGTGAAATATCCCACACATAGACCATTGTAATACTGTACTCACCTTCAAGGTCACTTCTCAGGACCAGATCCACTCTCTAGCCAAAACCTAGGGTTCAGTCTGCCTTTTCCACTTTTCAAAAGTGCTTTCACCATTTATATCCCCTTGGAATTCTTTCTCATCAATATTTCCCTTCCCCAATTCTGAAGAGTGAGAAACTTTAAAATGATATTTTTAGTAAATATCATTACTAAATGCATCCTTCCCTTACAAGCAATGAGTATTGCATGGTCCAGAATCAGATGAAAGTATGAATCATGCAATGTTTCTGTTGTTATTAAGAACACCATTAAAGACTGCTCTGACACCATATGTAATGCTTCATAGGAATGAATGGTGGTCATTGTAAGAGACTTGTGCCTACCTTATAATGCCTCAATTATTCAATCATCAACAGTTGCCCTAATGCAAAGGACAGTTTGTGTTGATGCTGTAGCACATAGTCTGACCATTGTGCATCATAACCTGCATTACTACCCTTCCCACACTCTGCTTATACCTACTCTAATATTACAGGCTTCATCTTCAGAGATCTTAAAGTCACATTCCCACCTATCATCTTGCTGTTGCCATTTCTTTTTGATAATTCGGTTAAAATTTTTCTTCTTCAGACTTACATAGAGGAACTGTCTGCACATCTTTTCACATGGGTTCAATATCTGCATCCTTCTCCTAAAAGTCTCTTTGTGGTTCTTCTTGAACATCTGTTTGACAAACATGGGGCTATTCTTAATGTGCAGCCAAAGAAGGTATGTGAGAATAAAGCCTAACAAAAATTAACTGTAATGAAATATACAGGCAGTTAGTAAGAAGCTTCAGCATATTTGTTGAGTCCTAGCACTCATTTTGAGCAAACAACTGTATTGAGAGTCTACCCTTCCCAGATACCTTTCTATTTGAAGCTCAGTAAACCTGCAACTATCTCACCTCAGCATGAACGGAAAAGGTGCAACAAGATTTCCAAAAAGAAAATCATTTGCCTAGCAGAATTAAAGTGTAAAGCAGTCTTCTTTTTAAAATAAGAAAATTGTTTTCCTCTGCACTATATACTGAGTGGCCAGATTATTATGATCTCTGAATGCATAATAATCTGGCCACTCAGTGTATATCCTATATAATAAAAAGCTAATATGCAAATTGTCCCCTCGACCAGGTGTTTGACCAGCAGGCAGGCCGGCCAACCACCCATGTCCCCTCCCCCTGGACAGGCTCGCAAGACCCCTCCCATGCACAAATTCATGAACTGGGTCTTTAATACACACACACACACACACACACACACACACACACACACACACACACAGAGTGGCCATATTATTATGCATCCATGCATTCAGAGATCATAATAATCTGACCATTCCGTGTAAATCCTATGATTGACCTGTAACAAATCTTTCACATATCTTTTTTCGTGTTTTTTAAGAAGCAGACTCACATCAGGATCTTATTAGAGTGACACCAGGTGCTTGAAGAAAAAATATAACAAGACAGAAAGAACAAGCTTGAAGGGTGATCCAAAATTCCATCCTTCTGTTGCTACTGGTAACTGTATAGGAGAGGAAACTGGTAGAAAGTTGATGCTTTCTTTTCTCTGAATTAGTGAGACAAATAATCAGATGGGACATCCCTCAGGAAGAAAAGCTGTGTACTGGCACCAATCGCCAGCTCAGAGTAGCCTCTACTCTGTGTAAACTTCTGCTTGTCAGATACCCCCTCTCTAGGATTTATTTCCCAGATTAATTTATAAAATTGATGTCAAATGGTTTACTATTTGAAGTCAGCATAACACTGGAAAATGAAAAATCAAGTACAGGGGATAGGGACAATATGTTCTACACATACACATAATAGTATAATTTGTTTTGAGGAGACATAGGAATCAAATGGCAGAAATGTTTGGCTCTTAGGATTCTGAGGGGAAAACAAAATGACCTTGAATCTAAAAAATAAGTTTCAAAGACTGAAGTTATTACCCACAATAAGATTACATTCTGATCTGTGGAAATACGTGTCTTCAGTCCATTTAGGATTAACCTTTACAGGACTGCTGGAGAATTAATTGGGTCTTAACTTCTCTCTCTGAGCTGCCTTAGGCTGTAGATGTTTACATTTAGTATTCCAAGGAGGTTTGTACAGGGCAGCCAGCTGTGCAACTGTGGCTTATTTACCTATGCTTCTGGCTTAGATTCCTCTGAGTGTGAGAACTGGAGAAGACAGCCCCTCCCAGAGAACACACAAGCCCAGCCTAGTAAAACAGGACTTAGTGTGGGTGGGGTCCATGCAGTGCATCAAATATAACAGTCCAGAAAGGGGCTGAACACTGAAACTACCCGAGGTCTGCTTCCTCCTCCCCTGTGCTTCTTTTTTCTTCAATTGCTTCTGCGTTGGGTACAGATGGAGGCAGCCGTGAAAATTCAAGAAGCCCAAAACTTCAAGCTGGCATTGCTTCAGGAGTTGTGAATATTTCAAAGAAGTGTCCAACTTAGAAATATTAACAATAGTTATTTGTGTAGAGTGGGATTACTGGAGGATTTTATTTTCTATTTGTGGTTTGCTAAATTTTACATCATGACCATGCATTATTTGTGTACATTTAAAAAAAATTTTTTTAAAGGTAACCTTCCTCAATGAGTCATTTTTATTTCCCTGGTGCTCTATCTCCAAGTACTGTAGAACAGCCCAGAAAGTGTACAGAAAAACACCCAAATAGGGAGTTTTCCAGTTCCAGCATTATTGTTCTTTAAAATCATGGAGATATAGGGCAAAGGATGAAGATATGAACTGACTTTACCAGCAGGGCCTCAGGAGGAAATACTTCACTCTAGGTGATTCCAATTAATACAGTTTGTGAAAATACTATTTACAGTGAGTGTTCAGAGTTATAGGAAATAACAAGGTTAGTAAGTATGAGTAGGAAACCATTATCATCCCTAGAGCTAAGGGGTCAAGGGAAGCAACAGAGTTATCAGAGCCCAGTGAATACTAGAACCACGAAGGAGGAAGAGCCCAGTAGTTGCTCTACTTGTGCAGGTGTGGAGCTACTTCCAGAGATGTAGTGCCAGAGCAGGAAGGGACTAGGGAAAATACTTTGACCTCTCTTCCCATTACTATGGTAGTTCTCTTACAATTTCTACCTCCTTATCAAGCCCAACAGTAACCAACAGGCAAGGGAATCAAGAATACACAGTCTGCAGGGGTAAACCTAGGACAGAAAGGGGAGCTAGGAAGAATAGAAATTGGATGAGGGTACGGAAAAAATAATTAACACAGTCTACCTTTTTGGTTACTCAGAAACCATTCCTGTCCTTTGTGCAAACAAAGAACTTTCATCTCCAATAGAGAAGAGATAACTAACCAATTGGTATTTCTCTCTCCTCTCTCTCTCTCTCTCTCTCTCTCTCTCTCTCTCTCTCTCTCTCTCTCTCTCTCAATTTTAAAAATTAAAATAAATATAGATGTAAATGTATGTATATGTATATATAGTATACATATTTAGATAAACAGCTAAAGAGATAAACACACACACACACACACACATACACACACACACACATTCATATTTTCTAGCTCTGTCCACTGAGAGGACCAAGAAGCAATAACATCCAATAGCAATTATCACACACAGAACTCAAATCTTATTTTCTAAATTCCATTATCTGCCAAAGGAAATCAGAGTTTCTTGGTGAAGTGGCCTATCACAGAGCTGGACCAGGAAAATTATAAGATGGATCTGGAGCACTTTTTTGTACCAGAAAGCAAGAAAGCAAAGAAATGTATGGAGAATGATGGTGGCATGTCAAAGGAAAAAATATGCCAGTTTGACATATATAAGAGGAAAATTACAGGACTTTGGGGGGGGGGGGAAACTAACTTCCTTTGGTCAGTGGCAATTTGAGCATCATAGTAATGATAGTAACAAATTATTGAATAAAATTGGAAAATATGTGTCCATAGTGATATAAGTAAATAAATAAAACTAAATTTTGATGAATAATGTGTTATTTACATCATTTTGAAGTATCTCCTCACAAAGTACTTATTTATTACAAAAGAAATAAAGAGTAGTTTTATGATGAAGAAGACTGGTTGATCAAGTAATCAACATGAACATCATTAGTAACAGAACACATAGAGATCATTTACCACCTGATATGATGTTATAAGAAGAATGCAGCATTACTTCCATGATATTTCTGCTAAATATGCTCTATCAGTCATGGTTCAATGAAAGAAATAGGACCACAAGGAATTTGTTACAGATTTGCCTTTATGCATTGTGGGAGGTGGTTAAGCAGTATATGCAAGACTCTTGTCTTTGCATCTGATGCTGGAGCTTGCAGTTCACAGGCCAGGCAGCTGGAAAGGTAAGAAAGATGTGAAACAGAGGATAAGAAAGACAAGCTAGAACCCACAAGCACTAGTTAACAGTTATTGTTGCCTCTGCCCTTAGGGGTATGGGTATCCCACAGAAGCTGGGTTCTTTGTCATGAACCAAACCTACACCTGACCTGGTGACACTTAAGGATAATCTAGGTGGGAAACTTGAAAACTTGCAAACCCAGTATGCCAACAGATGAGCAACAATGTGTGTAACTACAAAACAGTTGCTGCTTCATTTCTGTCCTCTGAATCTCCCATAAGAATCTCTTTTGTGGCATGCTAGACGTTGGGTGACATTTAACGCCAGTGGTCTTGATCAGGCATCTAGAAGTGTTCAGCAATCTGGAGAAAAAACTGAGCATAGATTAAATAAGAGTCCAGAGACAAAACAAAATTTTGAAAGGCATATGGGGGGGGAGGCAGGGGAGGGTGCAGAGGAGCTTGGCTGAAGAAATCAAATTCTCCTTATCTCAGAACCCCTTGCTTTTTTTTAATACAAATTGTCCTAAAGCAAGGTGGAGATATACACTTTAAAGGGTAGGGTTTCATACAAAAGCATTGTCAGATTGGGGAATTGTCTTTGGCTGTTCAGGTGTTTGGCCAACAGGAGGTAATAACATGTAGAGTAGATTAAGATGACTTGAGCTATCTTGCAGCAAACAATTAATTTAATGTAACCTTTTAAGGTTTGGGAAAATGCCTTTAGCCATTCCCAACAGGTAATAACATATGTGACTCAGCCCTTGTTGAGTCTCCAAGTTTCATCAACCTTTCAATGAAACTCTTACAATTACAACATATTGGAATTGGCTTCCGGCAGTGGCCCACCTCAATAAGAAACATGCAGAAAAGAGAATTTTGGGAAATGCAGTTCACCTTAACAGGTTAACAAATGAAAAGTCACCAGAGATACATAACATGAATCTAATAGTGAGAAATATCAAAATAATAGAAATTGAGGAATAGTCCATAATATAACTAATTTTTTTTTTAATTTCAAGATCATTGAAGTTAAGGAAAGACTGAAGAATTATTCCAAACTAAAAAGTCATTTTTAAAAAATGCATATCTGTCCTGAGTTCCTTTGCTCTGATGAACAATTTGATACAGTTTGGATAAGGATTCGATGGTAATAATGTATCAGTGTTATCTTCTGAAACTGATTATTGTCTTGTGATTATGAAAGAGGATGTCCTTATTTATCAATCTGCCACACCAGCATGGCCAACAGTGAACCTGAAGAGGGGCGGTGAAGGATTGAAGAAAAGACAGACAAGAGAATGCAGCTGGGGCTTGATTGATCTCCCGTGCCTGGATGAGGACACAAAAGACCCAGCCTGCAAGCCAATGCTTTATTTTATAGTCTGATTTTAAAAAGGGTAGATTAACATGAATACAAATGTTTCTGTTTTGGCAATACTTGCTGCACCACCCACAGCCTATTAGCTACTTAGGAAGAAATTAGGGAGGACTACAATGTCAGGCTTAATTATCCTAGGAGAGCTCTGCCCTCTATGCTGGAACTTGTTTGTGGCCCTGCCACAGGTCAGCCTGAGGCTTGACCCTAGAGCTGCTCCCTACATTTCCCCCCTTTTTTGTTTTTAAGCTACTACAATAAAAGTAAACTTGAACATAATTCTGGCTATTAAAACAATAACAAAACAACGCTAAAGCAACATAGCAATAAAAGAGAAATCAAACTACAGACATGTTTAACATTTTTGGCTACAAAATGAAAGTTTCTTTTTGCTGCTGATGTATGCAGAGTCATTGGACTTGGTTATGCAAGAGTTCACAGAAGACTGGCAGCTAACCAATGCTAGCATAGCCGGAAACATGGTTGAGGGAGTAGCTTTTATTTCTTGCTTTTCTACCATCTGCTGGGCTTCAGTTGTTAGCTTCTTCAACTGACCCCATGTTGGCACCTTGGCCCCTTGCATAGCCTTTGTTTTCTTCTTCTTCCACATTTCTGTCATCAGGGCAACTCTCAGTCTTTTGGACGATGAGACAAGGAGCTTCTCTGGGTCTATTGTGGTGACACATGTAATGCTCTGGCACCCAAATTGGCTACGCTGCTCCTTCTGGAAAGATACAAACACAACCTCTTCCCCACATCATTACTGGATCGGGTCCAAACCATTGTCCAGTTTGTGCATCCTTCCATTAGGATAACCCTGAGGAGGCTATTGTACTGGAGATCCAATGCCTTTTGGCTGCTATATGACCCTCTGCATCCCAATTCAAAAAAAATTTAAAGTATAAAGAGCATTACTGAGTTTGTTTTGAGGTGACACATAATATCCATCTCCCCCTTTTATTTGTTTTAGTAATTGCATTTTAAGAGTATAATTGGCTCTTTTCACTATAACTTGACCTTGAGGGTTGTAAAGGATACCAGTTTTATTACAGATTTGATATTGCTGACAAAAGTGCTGAAAAGAACTAGCATATGTGAGTCCATTGTCTGTTTTTAGCTCTAAGGGAGGTCCTAGTACCGCAAAGGTGGCTAAGCGATGATTAATTACATGCTTGGCACTTTCCCCTGTTTGGGGAGTCGCAAAGATAAAGTGGGAGCAGGTATCTACATTAACATATACCCACCTATGCTTACCAAACTCCGGGACATGGGTGACATCCATTTGCCAGATTTGATTAGGTTTAAGACCTTTAGGATTAACCTCTAAAGATTGTACAGGACAATGAATTACACACTGAGGGCACTGCTTAAAAATTTGATGAGCTTGCTCCCTAGAAATATGAAATTGTTTGTACACGGCAGCAGCATTTTGATGATGCAATGCATGGGAGGACTGGGTAAGAGAAAATGGGGTAGCCTCTTGTATTACAGTAGGGGTGTCGAACTCAATCAGAGAAGGGGCCAAAATCTAAAATCCAGCCTAAATCGCAGGCCGAATGGTTTACTGAACAGTCATAAACTGTCATTGTGATGGAAACGCAGCGGAGTGCAGTGATGACAGCGCGGTGCGGGCCACATTGCAAGGCCTGGCAGGACGGATTTGGCCCGCGGGCCTTGTGTTTGACACATGTGTATTACAGCAAGGAGATAATCAATAGCATCACTGCCTATAGCTAACGGACCAAGGAGACCTGAATGAGATCAAATGAGACCAATAAAGCAGGGAAATTGTCGTTCTCTAATGACTTTTGGAAGGTTGAAAAATAAATGAAAAAGTTCATCTATAAATTAGTGTGCCCTATAGTAGCTGTTTCAATAATTTTGGCCATTCTTACCACATAAGCACTATCAACTACATATCGATAGGTTGACTAGAGGCCCAGTGAACAAAATTTGTGCTCGGGGGGTCGGCGGGGGGGGGGGGGGGGTGTCTCAGCCTGCACCCTCTCCAATCTGGGACCCCTTGAGGGATATCTGGGATCGGGCCTAAACAGGTAGTCGGACATCCTTCTCACAATCCAGGACTGCTAACTCCCAACTGCTCCCTTGCCTCTGCCTGATTACCCCTAACCACTTCTGCCTGCCAGCCTGATAACCCCCTAACAACTCCTTGCCAGCCTGATTAATGCCTAACTGCTCCCGGGCCAACCCATTGCCCCTAACTGCCCTCCCCTATCAACCTGGTCGCCCCTAGCTGCTCTCCTCTGCCAGTCTGGTCACCCCTAACTGCCCTCCCCTCCTAGCCTGGTCTCCCCTCAAATGTCCTTCTCTGCTGGCCTGACCGCCCACAACTGCCCTTCTTTGCAAGCCAGTCTCCCCAATTTCCCTCCCCTGCAGGCCTGGGTCCTCGCCAACTGTCCTCCCCTGCAAGCATGGTGCCCCCAGCTTCCCTCCCTGTAGTCCTGGGTTCCCCCCAACTGCCTTCCCCTGCAGGCCTGAGTCTTCCCCCAACTTCCCTCTCTTCCTGGCCTGATTTCTCCCAACTGCCCTCCTCTGCTGGCCTATTGTCCCAATTAAGCCCCAATTAATTGATTATCTGTCTAGACTTAGTGGGACAACACAGGTGACCAGGAGTCAATATCGGCCTGTCCCCTCATAGTTCAATGTCTAGACAGCTGAGCTGAACCAGAACTCATGACACACAAGACAGAATTAGTATGCAATCACACAGGGTTTTTTTACCTATTCCTAGTGGATCCTAGGCTCCAGCAAAGGCCACCTGGCAATGCAGCAATGCATACTAAAGGGCACATAATGAAAACAGAGACAGGCAGGTGGGCACAGTTGGTTCAGGTTCACACAGCAGAGCAATCAGGGGCTTGTCTCTCAGAGCGACGAGGAGTCCTCTTCTTATCAGGCAGGAGATCACAACTGAAGATGGTCCCCGGGTTATATAGATCGCGGTAAACAAGTTGTGTCCTTATCAGTGTGGGCCAGACTGTGTGCCTTATGCTGGGAGCAGGGCATTTACATTTTAAGGGCGCAGAACTTTTACATCAAGATATTGGGGTGTTCATTAATTTCGGAAGTTACACAGTATTGGGGGTTTCCATACAGCAAACATTTCACACAATAATTAGAGGGGTTACATTATTATAAGACCTGGTCACCCATAGCTTCTCATAACTGCCCTCCCCTGCAAGCCATCTTGTGTCCACATAGGGGCAGCCATCTTTGACCACATGGGGTCCATCTTGTGTCTTGGTGTGTCAGTCAATTTGCATATTACTCTTTTATTAGATAGGATGGGCTCCGTAGCAAAGTCTGTCAAGGCATAAATAAGAGCTTGTATCTTTACCTGTTGTGCTGAAATATAACGGGTTTGAAGGACTTTTGCTCCCCTGCTGCAGTAGTATCCAGCCATCCCAGAACTGGATCCATCTGTAAAAATGGTTGGTGTGACTTCACTATCTTTGGGAAGGTAAAGGTAGTAACTGGGAGAAAATGTAAGATTTTATTTGCAAAATAATGGTTATCAACCTGTCCGGAGTAATTAGCAAGTGCAACTTACCAACTTGTTGATCGTTGCCAGAGCCAGTCTTGCTGTATAGCTGTAAATGGCACTACAGTGAGGTCAGGGTTTTGGCCCACTAATTGGCCTGTTTGAAGGCGGGCTCCAGCTATTAGATGGGAAATTGAATCATGGAAAGGAGTTAATACCTTAGTCAGAGAATGAGCCAAATATAGTCATTCAACAACTCCAGGAGCTTGCCAAATGACTCCAGTGGATGTATGTGTCTTAGGGAAAATTAAAACCTGTAAGGGAAGGGAGTAATCAATTCTAGTAAATTGTGCTAAATTTAAGGCATCCTCTACTTCAGTGTTTCCCAAACTTCTCTCATGATGAGAATCACCTGGTGGAGTTGTTAAACTACAGATTCCTGAATCCCAAGTAAGAAGTGCTAAACTAGAATTTTGGGGAACATATAGGTATACTTAACTCTGTCTTAGAGCACTAGTTAAGTATACAATTTTACCTATATGTTCCCCAAAATTCTAGTTTAGCACTTCTTACTTGGGATTCAGGAATCTGTAGTTTAACAACTCCACCAGGTGATTCTCATCATGAGAGAAGTTTGGGAAACACTGCAGTAAGACTGCCTTGGCTTCCTCTTTCAAGCAGTGCAGGGATGACGGAGATGAATCTCCCCTTAGTATATGAAATAAAGGGCTTAAGTCAGCAGTGCTTAATTTTAAAGCAGGTCGAACCCAGTAATATCTCCTAATAATTTCTGAAAATCATTTAATGTGAGTAAAGTGTACATCTGAATTTGAATTTTCTGAGATTTTATTGTTTTCCCTCAATAATGCTGCCAAGATAAGAAAAAAGAAATGTCCTTTGAACCTTTTCAGATACTATGCACAATCCAACATGATGCAGGGAATCCCGCAAATCTAAATATATAGTATTTAGAAGCATTTCATTGTTTTGAACTAAGAGAATATCATGCATAAAATGAAAAATATAAGACTTGGGATATTTTTTCCTTATAGGATGTATGGCTGTGGCCACAAAATCCTGACATAATGTGAGGCTACTGGCCATGCCCTCGGGCAATATTTTCCATTGATACCTTTTTATGAGCTTGTTAAATTTTATTACAGGGACATTAAATGCAAATCTTTTGCAATCCTCATGATGGAAAGGAATAGTAAAAGAGCAGTCCTTAAGATCTAATATCAATAAATGATATTGCAGTGGGATACCTATAAGGAATGGTAACCCTGACTGAATGGGCCCCATAATCTCCATGGTTTTATTAATTGCTCTTAGGTCTTGCAATAGTCTTCATTTACTAGATTTTTTCTTTATTACAAATATGGGCGTGTTCCATGGACTGTGAGTGGGTTCAATATACCCTGCCTGAAGCTGTTCTCAAACCATCTCTTGTGTGGTTTTTAACTTTTATCCTAATAGGGGCCATTGATCAACCCAGACAGGGGTATCTGCAAGCCAGGTAATTTTAGCTGCTGGACACTGGGTCACAGAGACAATCAAGGCCCCTGTTGAAAATTCTGGTAACCTGCCAAGACCGGTTTGGCTCAATGGATAGAGCATCGGCTTGGGGACTGAAGGGACCTGGGTTCGATTCTGGTCAAGGGCATGTACCTTGGTTGCGGGCATATTCCCAGTAGGGTGTGTGCAAGAGGCAGCTGATCGATGACTCTCTCTCATTGATGTTTCTAGCTTTCTATCTCTCTCCCTTCCTCTCTGTACAAAATCAATAAAATATTTTTTTTTTAAAAAGAAAAGAAAATTCTGGTAACCTAATCTGTGTCTCCCCTTTTGAGTGGACATCGAGATAGATGAACGTCTCCCTTGCTGGTTTTTTTCTAGTCCCTTTAGGGGGTGAAATCCTTGATTAAGCATTTGAAAAATAACAATGGAACTGGGACTTATTATTAAAACTCACATCGGCTCTAACATCTCCTGAGCCCATAGATTAACAGGCAAATGTTGCAATGCATAAGGTTGAAAATAACTTGTATTTCCATCAGGATCTTCCCATCGAAGGAGTTGAGCACTCTGCAAGGGTTGAGTTACATGCCCCACTCTTTGCAATTCAGAAGCCATGGTGTTTAAGGACTAGGCCTGCGGCCAATGTCTGAAAGCCATTCCTGACACATTAGCTCCAGTATCTATAACCCCTCTAAAAGGCTTCCCATTTAACCTTAGTTCTAACTCAAACCAGCCCTGCTTAACTAATCTTGCCCAGTATACCACATCGATAGACCCAAAGACTGCTGCACCATGGGGCTGATTGGTTAAAGGCCACCCTTCTGGATA